CTAACTTTAGGTCGTCTTCTTCAGCTCTTTTCGCTCGTTCTTGATCCCTCTCGCTCTCTCTCTCTTTCTCTCCATTCGTTTTCCCGATCCCGTCTCTCCCTTTCTCGTGCGGTTTCTTCCTCTCTTTGCGGCGGGAACGTGGGCGTGGACGTGGGCGAGGTGAGTCTTCAGGGCCGGCGAGCGTCGGCCGATCCCGGACCGGACGTCTCGTAAATCGTGCGGACCCTCGGATTCTCTCGTCCTCCCATCGACAACTACGTCCCTGCCGATCCAATTCTATGGCGGGAGATCTCCTCGGATTCCATCGTAGAGTAGGACGGAATCGGGCACAGGAGTGCGCAATACTCCGCGAGAAAATATCGCCGGCTATTATATCGTAGTTACGAGCGGATGCGCGCGAATTCGATTAACTCGGCCTTTCGATCGGGATCGAACTCTATGAAGTCTTCGAAAAAAAAAGCATCCGGATCCGGACTCGATCGAACGGTTGCAAGTTGAAAAGTTTAGCAGGTAGTACTATATCCGACTATATCCGGATATATATTTAAAACATATTCGTGTAATTTATAGATATTGTGTATAAATACTTGATGGTTTCTTCGCGTGATTTGAGCGCAAGCTTACTTCGCCATTACGATAGACCTATACTTATCAATATATATGTGCCATTATACGCTTCTCAAGATCGCTTATGATTTATTCCATCTACCGGCACGTAAATTAATTATACGAAGGGCAGGGATGTGCGACCCTTCCCGCCGTTTCCTGCGTATCGATTCGTCGTTACATCATCGAGAACGACACCAGAACTGTCTGTTATTTTTTAATTATCGCTTGATTACTCGACGTTGCACGAGCGTCTCGGGCGCTTCTTGCAACATGCGCAGAAAGTCTTATCAACGAGTGATGTACATCCTGTTGATTTACAAAGTTGCACGACGAATACTAATCGGAGCGATACTCTCTCGAGATGTATTTTTGCGACGTTTGCCATACAGGGAATGACGCGATTATGCAAGCTAATTATGCAAGAAATACCGCCATATGAGCAAATAATGGGAAAAATATTGTCGCTACATGCGCTCGATGTAACTCGAAGATAAGGTATCGTCTTTTGCTTACGTAAATAGTGCACTTTTTGTCAGCTACATTTCTCTCACATACGTATTATATACTTTCTCCAGATCTCTCTATTTTTTATTATAATATAAAATCAAATTAAAATAATAAATAAAATCAAGCTCGTCTTTGCAAAGCAACTAGAAAAGACTTGGGACATAAAGCAATTAGAGCAAGTAATTAGAGATTAAAACAATAGCGCTTTATTATCGTTTAGTTGTCGGAATGCGTTTCGATTACACATTGCAGCTAGAGTCTTTATCAGCCGACAAGAAATATCAATGAATAAATAAATAACGTAAATCGAGTTAGTTGAAACGTATGTTGAAATGAGAAGTATGTATAACAAATATTGAAATAAAATGGAAAGACAAGAACTAATTTAACTCGCTTCGAAACGTTCCGACAGTTAAACGATAACAAATCGCTATTGTTTCAATTTCTAACTACCTCCTTCGCTCGTTTATTATCCCATGTCTTTTCCAATTAACATCATATTATTCTTTGCATGTAATGGAACTAAAACCCACATGTTGTTCAGCGGAGAAACTTAAAACCTGAACTGCAAATTGAAATCTAACCATATAACAGTAGGTATGAATATTCCGAGAAATATCAGAAATATGAGACGATTCTCTCGGCGAGATCGTTACGCCGGAATAACAAATTGATTTCTCCCACCCTTGCCTCCTTTTGACCGCCCGCCCGCCCGTTCGCTCGCGAGAGGGTTAAACCCCGGTGAAATTTTTGCTTCCTGTCCGGCGTTTTCCCTCTTCCTCTCCGCGACCCACCGCGCTTTTGAATTCCCCGTGCCCTGTGCGCGATCGATGAACGTGTTCGTGTCGACGTCACACAACGACAACAACGACGACGAGGGCCCTCTCCTCTAATGCCTCTCCCTCTCATTAAAGCCGTCCGCCCGCGCTCGGCGTCCTCGTCGGTGGAGAGTAGCATCCTAATGCTATTTACACAAGTGCCTCTGCCGTGGCGAAAGGGCGTTCGGGACCCCGCGCCTTTCGAGGCCGTGGATGTGGCACACGTAGCCGCTGGTGCTCGTGTTCACGTCGCGCGGAGATCGCGCGATCAAGCACCGTGTAATCCCAAACGCGAGAGAGACCGAGGAACTTTCCGGCCGGTCTCTCTCTTTGTCCCTTCTGAGAGATCCGCGTCTGTTAATTGCCGACGAAGTCCTTTTGTCCCTCGCGTTTCATTAACGAGACACGAAGAGATTTAGCGCAAGCTACTCTCCCGGCCGGGGGCCTGGCGAATCGATAAACTTGCGGATACCGATTTCCGTAAACATTACATCAGTAATTTCTTATTTCGTATCCATTATTTATCACGAAGATGTCAAAACAAATATAAATTTAGAATGTTTTTATTGTCTATCTGTTGAAAAATATGTTTTCATGTTATACGAATAAATATCTATTTTTGATGACGATATTGAGAATGGGAAATATATTAACAGCGATATATTAACTAAAGTTTATTGCAACGTGACATATAGTTATAATTTTTCCTCAATGAGGGAAAAAAGTAAACAAGTAGAATTTAGACGTCACTTGAAGGACGAATGAGAAAGTCGTGGTCTTATACTGATCAAATTAATACAAGGCTGATTTATCGAGGCAGCTTCCAAGCTTGCCAAGCGGCCTAAACATAATATAAGTAAATGAAGTGATCCTTCACGAATAACGACGTCGGAGACGTCCTTCCTGACGTGACCGGTGAAGAGAATTAGCATACCGTCACCGAATAACCTTATCCTTTCTACCCACGTATTGTTATCGATCCTTCGAATCTATACCCGAGCCTATGAATCCTAAATATGCGGACTTGCGCAATGGTACTTTTCCATTGTCATCGTCGTCGTCGTCGTCGTCTTCGTCGACGTCGATGTCGAGCTTGCGAATTAGGCATAGACAAACGAACGTAGTACGAGAAGCGTTGCCACGACCCAGTTTCGCATTGTGCCAATGCAGCCGATCGTGCGGCGGAGCAGGCGATCCTAATTAGAGAAGTCTCGATCGCCAATTAGCGATCGAGAGCGTTCGCCGCAGGATCGAGAGACTGACGACTTCCTGATTGAGAGTTCCTTGGTAAGACGAATTGCGCGTTTCCGAGCGAGCGCTGCCAAAAATTTCGGTGTACGCTACGCACAATTTCGGGGGTTCTATTCTAAGCTGTACTCGAATAGGTGGCGAGACGGTTGAACGCGACGCAGAACTTTGTAGAATTTTGTGGACAGTGAGGATAAAAAGGGTCGATCTCTCGAACACGAACGGCGAGAGAAACGGAACTTTACGTGAAAACTTTCACTATCGCATAGCAATTACTTTTTTTTGCGAGGCGTCTATTTTCGTTACCAATTACATCTAACGACGGTCATCAATCCTTCCTCGGACGCCTCCGCGGGGGTTGGTATATAGTAGGTCATGCTCGACCTGTCGACGTAGGAGGCGTGATACCAAGGCGCCTGTCGCGCACGGGCGTACGATCTAATTTAAATATTTAACAGTGTCGATGTACGTACGACGTGCGATCGGTTCGTTATAAGCTCGAGTGGCAAGCCCGAGTGCGGTGGAGTTTGTTAGTCACGTCGCGATAGCGCGCGGTCGCTACGTCGGTATTAAGATGCAAATGAACCCCGCATCGTCGCACCGACGACCACAGTCACCATCGCGAGTCGTCGATTCCACCTAGGATCAGCGAGTCAAACGGAATCGCGAAGCAGCAGTCTCTCTCTCTTTCTCTCTCTCTCTCTCTCTCGCGCGCGCGCGCGCGCGCGCGCGCCCCGCGATTCGTATGCATAAACATGACGAATCTCTCGGGGGTGTGCAAACGGTCGATATAAATGATACAAATTTAATCGTTCTACGAGAGACGGGAACGGCATTTCACATGCGTGTGAACATGTCGCCGGGTGTTAATAGCACGGAAGGGATCAACGTGTACTTCCTGCGATCGTGCCCGTCGACTCCGACGTCGATTTTCTTCCAAACATCATCGCGCTTCGTCTCTCTCTCTCTCGCTCATCTCTCATCTTCCGTGTCCGTTCAACGAAAACAACATTGTTTTCGCGCACCCGGTTCGTCACGATCGTTATTAAGGCCGACCTATTTACGCGTGAGTTACGCGAAGCATCGATGTGCCACTTTGTTTATTTTTTTTATATTTCCTCCGTTCACCTCTTTCGCTCTAAATATATCCGAAGTGCCGGCCGCCTCGCTCTAGCACGCCCTCCGTGCGTTTCAGCGGATATATTGCGCTCTGAACGTTTGATTATATCAAATACCGCACTAGCGTAATTTATATCGTTAGATAACTCAGCGGGGAAAATGTGTAATAATCATCATTATCGACGCTTCGTCCCGATTATCCTCGAGCGGTCTCAAGTTCATTAGTCGCCCGTAATTTTCTCAGCGCAACTAATTGAATTGTTTACTTCGAAAGAAGCAATCGCGTGATTCATATTGAACCGTATTAATTTTAACCGTGTATTTTTTATCGAAATTGTGTTTCTTTAGAAATCTACTTTTCAAATAAACAGATTTTATGAGCTCTTTTATCTTTTATGTGAAACATTCTAACATTATGTAAAGAATTCTAAGAAAATACTTGAACAAGATATTTTCTTAAAAAATTACGAATAAGTTTAGTCTTTGCACACTGAAGTCTACTTAGATTTCAATCGATATTTCTACGTTTCTTTTATGAAATTTAAACTTTTTTATATTATTATTTGGCGGTGCTATTTGCATGCTCAGTCATTTTGTTTTTTCTCGCTTGCCAGAGTCATTACGTGAATCAGCAAAAGAAACTTGAGACCACGGTGTGAGGTAGAAGGCGAACGCAAAAGCAAACGTAAAAATGAATGGTTACCTGCCGAACAACGGATGCCATAGCTGCGATTCATCCGGCGAGCTCGCGGTAGAGCTCACTTCCGGCTCCTGCTTGAGCAGTCCACTGCGCACTCTAAGCAAGGGCGAATAGGGGTTGACGCGCGTTCGCCCGCCGTTTGACAAGTCTATGGGCTGCATCGGCATCAGTGTGCAGATCGGCTTGCAGCTGAGTTTGGGCCTGCCACCAGTGATAATGGCGCGGGTGAGTCCGCTGCCTCTCACGCCATTCCCGTTCGTCGAACCGGACAGTCCTTTGTTAACGGCACCGTTAAGGGCGACTCTAGGTTGCTGCGGTGACGAGTGCCGCGACCTGGCGACCGGGCCTTCGCCGTGGTCCAGCACATGCTGCAGATGCGCCAGCGATATCACTAGCAGATCGGGGTCCCGGAGAAGATCGGGCCTGGTGAGGGCTTCGGGCAGCCTGAGTTCGGGCCTGCTGGACAGTAATTTTGGTATCTCTGTCGCCGGCGCGGCAGCCAAACCTGGCAAATAGTCGCGAGGTACTAGGAGAGGATCGGGAATCAGGTGGCCGACAGTTTCGATCAGTTCGCGAAGCTGTCTGGCCGGATCCAAGAATTTGTCCATGCTGCTGGACGTGGAACAGATGATCTGATCTTGATCGGTGAAGTGGCCCCTTGTTTTACTAACGGTTTTTTGGTAATAGGCGACCTGGCTCTTTTGCCGTTGTCCAGTCGCTGGTTGCCACTCGGCGGACATCGGTCTCTTGGGCGCGGCGCGTTCCGCATAAAAGGTACTGTGGATATCGCCGCTGGACATTGGCCGGCCGGAGTTTCTCGCCTCCTGACTGTGAACGTTCAGACGTTCCTGGAAGCCGCGCTGATTAGTTCTTCTCACGTTCCTATCGATGCTCGAGTGCACGGGTCGAGAGATAGGCTGATCGACGCTCTGATCGGACCGGATCGGCACTATCTCCTTCGCCTTGTCATAATCCCGCGGATCCGCGCAGCTAGACGAGGCCAAGATGCTCTTCAACGTCAATTCGCTTTTGGCGTCCTCCGAGCAGGAAACCGAACACGGCGGACTAGGAAGTAACCTCTCGAGATATGCCGACGACGGTCTCCTGGACGCGGGAGAACAAGGAATTCCACTGGGCTGCGGCGAGACCACGGTGCCGCGGGATCGCAGCTCCTCCAAGACCTGCTCGTCAAAGTGCTCGAGATCTTGATATTTACCTTTGGCCTGCGCCTCGCTGTTTCTACCAGAGCCGATCCAGGCGTGATCGCTCTTCGTGTTCTCCAGCGTGGTTTTGCGATCGTCCTGATTGCTTCTGGTACCGGGCCCGTTATAGTAATCCGCGTCGATACCGTCGTACGCCAGTGAATCCGCCTTCTGCTGTCTGAGATCTTCCAGAACTTGCGAGTCGCAGTCGTCCTCGTCTTCCTCCTCGTCCCCGTCCTCCTCGTGGGGAAAGCCGTCCACCTTCATTTCCTCCGGATACACGTCGGCCTTGTTGAAACTAACGGTGCTCTCGGGCGACTCGACACGATGCTTCGTGTTCGGCGAGGCTGTTAGCTGGCCGGAGACACTCTTGTAGCGGTAGCTCGGTATAACGATCGATAGACCCGGCAGATTGCGAGGGGAGCCGTCGCGACCAAAGTCGTTCGCGTTCTTCAGCAGCTTCTCGACACATTCCGCTTGAGAATCTGGCGATCTGCTCGACGAGGATGCCTTTGAGGGTGGTCTCGCGGGCGGCGCGATCGGACTCTTACCGATTTCAGGCGTGTGGGTCCTCATTACGGACACCGAAAGCCCCGGCGTATTCCTCAGGGCGTCGAGGATCTTCGAGCTGTCGTAATCGAGCTTCATCGGCTCGCCGGGCTCGTCCGGCGCCTCCTCTTCCTCAGTCGGTATGCTCGGCCTCCACGTGACGAGGGAGTCCGATCCGCATTTCGGTCGATCGAGGACGAAACCGCCGTCGGCCTCGGCGACTTTGCAGGAATTCGCAGTCGTCTCGGCGTTATTCTTCATCGAGAGCAGCCCGAGATTGTCCTCTACTCGGATCTTCTTGTCTTCTACCTCCTGCAGGCAGCAATCCTCCAGGATCTTTTCTTCGTGCACCTCCAGCTTATCGTCGATCTCACCGTCTTGGTCGACGGCCTCGGTCTCGTAACTGGATATGCTCCTCGTTCGATCCTTCATATCGTCGAGCTCCGTGTTCTTGACTTGCTCTCTCTCAGCGGATTGCTCCTCGTCGAGGACCTCGTAGGTCTTAGTGGAGTCCACCGGTAGATCGGCGCTGGGAGTATCAGTGGCGAGAACGGGCGAGGCCGTGGCGTCTATCATGTTCAATATGTCCTGAATACCCGCCTTGTTCATCCGATTCGATTTCTCACTATTCTCCTCCTCCTCCACCTCCTCGTTGTCCACCTTTTCCTCTCTTTCCTCCTCATCTTCTTCCGCCACGGTGCTCTCCTCGTTCTCCTCGTCCCGCTCGCTATTTTCCTCTATCCGCTTCGCCTCACTCGCCGTCGCGTCCTTATTTCTCGTATGGTGAACGATATTTTGATGCGTGCTCTCGGGGAGTTGCGACAGTTGCAGCAGTTCCAGCACGACGCGCGGCTGGAACAGCTTGTCCATCTGCAATCTCTGCAGGTTGATCCAGCCGTTCAATCTATCCTTATTCTTCAAGCTGGACAGACGATCCTTCAGCTTGCTTTGCTCGTGATTCTTACCCTCCTCGCCATTTTTCTCTCCGCCCTCGTCATCGTTAATTTCATCGCGCGCCCTCAAGGGAGAGGAATATCCTCGTCGATTCGTCTCTTCATCGTAACCTCTTCTTTCCGCCTGCTTCTTTCTGCCTGCGCCTTCGCCAGTAAGCAAACCGTTCGTCGTGCCGTTCGGCGAATACATTCGCGGATGGCATCGAAGGGAGCTCGCCGTCGCGTTTGCCGGTTCTTGGAGACATTGCTTGCCGTTTTCCTTCTCGTCGTTGGACGAGACCGAGGAGGCCGGCGATGTGTCGGCCATGCCCGGCGTCGTCTTCTTGCAAGCGGCGGCTTCGGCAATCGCGTACCCGTTGGACGTGGTGCGCGGTATCGAGCGCCATCCTTGCGCGGTCTTGGTGAGCTTGATGCGATTACGTTTGTCGTAATCCTCGCATCTCACCTCGACGATCCTCTGCTCGCGCTGCGACGCCCACAGGAAGATCGGGTTGATCTTCGGTCGCTTCTCCTCGGGCTCGTCCAGCGTCTCGTCCCGCGGCGCTTCGTCCCGGACGCGCTTTTGATGCTTCTGATGATGATGGTGGTGGTGGTGGTGATGATGGTGGCGTCTTTGACGTCGGGGCACTGTGCCCCGCGCAGGGGCCCCGCTCATTACTCCATTCAACGAACGGTGATTACTCTGTCTCTCTCGTCCGACGGAATCGCTTCCGGTCCCCCGACTGCTGGCCGATCGATCGATAATGACTTGGGCGACGACCGGGCGGCGACCGTTATTGAATTATCGCAACCACCGCGTAATGCGACACGCGATTTTCTTTGCGCGCGCGTATCACCTGCCTACGTGTGTGACTTACAATTAGTCTCGTGGTTCACATATTTCCTGTCGCGCTTCCGCACGTCGCGGCGGCGTACCTCTTGAACGTGATCGCGACCTGGCGTTACCGGACCGGTTACCGTTCCGCGCATCGTAGACACCCGGTAGGCGCGCGCGCGCGCGCGCGAAACGATCGCGCGGCGTGTGGATCGCGCGGATTCAATCGCGCCAGACCGAAACCCCGGAGACCGTTCACCCGACTCGCTCCCGCGCGATCGATTCTCAAGGCCACCGCGCCATTGTCGACCCGGAACGAAGGTTCCGCCGCCGATTCGGGACGAGTCCTGTCGCGACACCACCACCGCTTTCGTCCCTTTATCGTCCCGACGCGGCTGATGCGAGCTCGTCGACGTCTGCTCGTACGTTCCCGATCCCGAGCTCGGTCGCGCCGCCGACGTCGCTGACGCTCGCGGGGTCGCCGGCGTTCATCCGGCTATCGAACCGTGACACGGCGCCTGATGTCGCGCCGACAAACAGGGATACGCAAGAGTGACACGGGCGCGGGCGTCGATCCTCATCGAAGCTCGTTGCCGCGGCGCGTCGACTCGCATGAGCTCGCGGCCGCTGACGACGCTGGGCACCGAGCTCGACCCATCGACCGGCCGACGAGCCTCTCGCCCGTTCTAGCCCGTTCTAGCCCGGCTACAGCTTCTCGCCTAGGTGTTTCTCTCGAAGCGGGGTGTTTCTTTCGAGGAACGCGAGGGGACCGACACCACGAGGAAGATGAAAACGTGCCGGGAAGTATCGCCAAGATCGAATCGGGGTGCACACCTCCCAACTTGGCGAACGATCGTGCGATTCGCAATCCGTACGTTCCACTCCGCGGCGGGGTATCCCGCCACTTATATCCACTTTATATCCTCGGTCTGCTCGGTCACTCGCGCTTACTCCACGCCGTGCGAATTCGGAGCACCGCCGCCGCGTCCTGGGATTGTCATCGATGACATAACACACGGTGCGGGCGTAGCAGGCCGCCCACCGGTTACACGCTACAGACGGAGTCACTGCCTGGGAGCTACTGGCGGTCTGGCGGTGGTGCCTCCTCGTTGCCTTCCTCTACGCCGTCGCGGCCGCGGCCACCGCCGCCACCGCTGCCGCCGCCACCGACGTCGTCCTCGCCGCCCCCGCTCCGCGGGATCGCGACGCAGGTGCGGCTCGAGCGGACGTGCTCTTGATATATCGAGTTATAACTGCAGGAGAGGAGACCGCGACCGCACGCTCTTCGATTAGGGACTCTTCAAATGCATCCGTTCGCCTAATTAGCCTAATAGGTACCTTCGATCTTGAACATTTTTCTTAATACGTAATTTGTATTAAGAAAATATTGTATCTTTATTCTTTCAAGCGGTGGGATCTTCGGATCTCTCTCCATCCACAGTTTGGTTTAATAGAACAAAGCTAATCATGTTATTTAATAGAAATGTCAAATATTCTTTTCATTCTATATACATATAATAAGTATATGGAAAGTAAAATATTTTGCAATAGATGATGTGCCTCCAATATTATAAGAATATCTTACAACTGTCAGCATCTTTTTAATGAATGATATATTCTGAAAATCTTTGAGAAAACTTTTTTTTTTAAGTATATACACATTTTCATTGACGTCGGTTCGCACATGCAATTTATTAAATACCTCTTTCTAGCTGTATTAAATATACATTGTACTTTCATTATAAACTAAACGTGATACAGAGTGAAATTATAATAAAATTCGTGCTCGATACTCGGGACTTTGGAACAGGGTAAGGTGTAGATAGCGACAGCACTGGTAGGCTCTTATCCCTCGCCCCGAGGCAGCGGCTCGCGAGCGGAGTACCGACCGTGAAGAGAGGAAGAGAGACAGACAGATAGAATGGTGGAGATAGATAAGGTTCCAGCGAGAGATAGATCGGGAGAGAGAAAGAGAGAGAGTGAGAGGGCGGAGGGGAGGGAAAAAGAGGGAGAGCGCCTCTGCACTGTATATGCACGCGTATACAGAGTGTACCGAAGGTAACATCGGCCACAATAGCGTCGATTGATTGCTGAAGGTCGGGAGAAGTTAAGCTTTTACGATCGCTTAATCGCCTCGACGACATCGTGTCGTACTCCGCGAAACAAAATCCGTCCACCCCTCTCCCACTTCTTCGTTTTCTCCCTTGTTCCAAATCCCTGTTGCATAATGCGTATGTGGATGCACACGCCTATACAGTGTGGATCGAAGATATCTAGAATGGTTGCGGGGGGCAACGCTCCGGTTGTGGCGGAAGCTCCGTTCGCGTCGGAACTCGAACTTTACGAGAAGTATGAATATTCTATCGGGAGATAACATGTTGGTGTCCATCTTGCTATCTCGCTCCCTTTTTTAAAAAATAATAACTCTGATTTATCGCGAGCGTCAAGGAAATTTATATTTTTAGTTACTAATTAATGGGGTTCGTATACGATAACACAACGCGATAAGCTACTTATTTTAGCTTAATTTTCGGGCGTAATATGATACGAGCGTAAAGGTGATTAAGCAGCTTATAGTTAATAGCCTTATCATCCTCTTCATTTTCCTTTTTACAAGTTCTTAGCGTCTTTTAGCACATTTTTTTTAGCGCGTGCGACCTGCGTGGCGCGAACGCGATGGTATGTCGGTGGGAAAGGGCGCCAACGAATAAATCCGAAGTTGATATCCGCCTCTCCCCCGTGTCCACAAATCGTGCACACGTGTCGCCAACTACCGAACCACTCCACTCCGGTCACTCCGGAGTAAACCGGCGCAATTCCTTCGTGCGTTGCGCGAGGGAATCTCGTAAAAGGGCGTGCGAAAGGGACAGATTTCTCGGCGCGAGCAACGAGGGTATAGTTTTCGATAGACAAATACCTTCACGCTAAGTGCTTCCAGTGAGGGGGACCCCGAATCGCGTTCACCCCAACACCGCGATACGAGCGATCGAGCGAGCCAACGAGAGAGCGAGAGAGAGAGGGATGAAGTCGGGTTCTCTTCAGTAGGGGAAAGGGCCACGGCACGGGGCCGAAGGGGGAAAATATTTTTATTAAAAAGGGCGCGTGGAGCGGGAAGGGAGAGGAGGAGGAAAGATCATGGCGGTCCCCGGCGAGGCCGCATTAAGCCATATTTCCGTACCTGCGATCGACGCACGCGAACTGAACATTAATTGCATTATCTCGTATGAAGGGATTTTAAGAGATGCAATCTCGTGACAGAACGAAGGAAGCTATTCAGGATGTTTAGATTGTATCCTATTTATTTAATTGCTGGACAGTTTCTATCGAAAAAGAATTGCTAAATTTTTCGAGAAAGACGATTCGTACACGAGAAAGAAGGTTTAACAGTCGTAGAAGATAAATCTGATCAATTAATGATCTTTTCGCGAGTAAGAGTTATTAGGGGTATATAGGAAACTTGGCACAATATGGCATATAGAAAAACTTAAGCAGTAGGTAAGCAAATTAACAAATAGCTATATATATTAAGTTTTCGAGAATACACAGAAAAAAAAGAAGTGTTATATCAAGACTTGTTTACTTGTATATAAGCAAGAATCTATAGTCTTCTTATAAGAATTTCAACTTTTTTTCTTGATTATATAATTTAGCGCAATTTATATACCATCTCAAGATTATAGATTCTTGCTTATATACAAGTCTCGATTTAACACTTCTTTTTTTCTGTGTATTTGACTTATGATTGGTCAATTTACTTACCGCTTCAGTTTTTCCATATGCCAAAAGGCCTTTACTCTAATTTAAAATGACTTTTGCTGTCCAAATCAATCATCTACTCTTGTACTGAGCATTTTTATATAATTTCTGTTATATCGTAACCCGAGAGAGCTTACTGTGTCCCGGGACCTGATAACGCCTGTTGCCCAGTTTATTTGCGTGTTTAAGGCAAAGACGAAACAAACAAAGTACGTTCGCCAAGGTCGGGTGGACCATGTCAATGTATGGTCACCGCGAAGCGCGCACGATGCGTGCACGGGCATGGCAGAGGAACCGACGACGTCACTGACCGTGGATGCACGCGAGACTCGCGACAATTTCGCGCGTGACGTCGCGTTTCGGCCCTTCAGCTTCGAGAAGAAGCCCGGCGTTGCCTTGAATCCGGTTCTCGAAACCTTGCGATTGTATCCCCGCGATCGCACGAACGAATATTCCGAGATAAAACGAAGAAGTTCCCGCGTCGAGTCCTCTACCGAGAGGAAAAAAAAGAGAGCTCATTTCTCTAAACTAGTCTTTATCGTGTATCGATTGTAAATGAGTATTAAATTACCGTTGTTATTATTATTAACTTCAGAAATTGATCTTTACGAAACGAGAGGAGATTCCAGGGATAAACGTTCGCGGAAATGCGTTTATAGTTTTTATGTCGCTGACGCGTAATTTTTATTACGCATGCAAATGACTTCGACGAATCGAATTATTTAGTTAATTATTTACGCACCGTGTGCAGTTCCCGATAGGATTAAAGAACGCGTCGGCCACGACGGCGCGGGTTGATTTACGGACAAAAACCGAACCCGATAAAGACGCGAGTGAGACGGCGCGAAGCGAAATAGAGAGAGAAGAAAGGTATTGGTGATGTAAACCACGCGAAGCATATACTTATGCACAAATATACAAATGCGGGCAACCTGCTGACTCTGCGCTTTAATAATTCATGCGGAGTGCATATATATGAAGGAAAAGGCACGGAGAAGTTTTATGTCTCGAAGTTTCGTCCGAGAGAAAAATTTCAGTCGCCGAGGAACTAGAGAGACCCTCTCTGATGCGTGTATACGCATGTATGTATATATGCGTGTATGTGTAACTTCCGCGGACCTTGCAATAAAAACTTAGGCGACCGCGACGTACTTTTACGCGACGTAACGTATAACTCCGGGACGGTTTTACATATTCGAGCGTCTTTATTGAAAGTTTAATATTTTACGGCATTGATGTTTAATGAGTGCCTCTGACCGGGTATTTGAACATTTTTCCCGAAATTTTCGGTATTTAGGAATAAGTGCCTTTCCCTCGAACGAGAAGCTACCGCGACAGTTCGTCGTCGTTCACGATTACGGTTTTTGAGATGAAAATTTTTTAATAAGAAACTCATTGTCTACCACGTAATTACGCTGTGTTACCGACTGTTTGTGAACCTCGGAGTCTGCGGAACACTTTAACAGAGAGCAGTATAGTTCGCGAGACGAGCTCGAAGCGGATATCAGACAGAGAGCGGCATTGAGCTCTCCACGTGAATATTAACTTCATCCGCTTTGACTACATTAACATAAATCTTCCTAGTCTTTATTTTGCTTCCTCTTTACTTCTGAGCGGAAAAATAAAACTCTAAAGAAAGAAGAGTTAAATTATTTCAATTCAATTCTTTAAATCAATTTTACATAGAAGAGAAAAATATTCTTAATTTGAAAATATTTTTAGTTTTAACGTGGAAATCTTGAAAAGAGTTATTGCGTTAAACGAAGGAAACTTGCTTGAATGAAGTTATTATATAATGTATAGTTCAAGAAAACCATGTAACCAAGAAAACAATGTTGAAATAAAAAGTTGAAATTCTTGTAAGAAGATTATAGTATGATCTTGCTCATATACGAAACAATCTATATCTTCTTATAAGAATTTCAACTCTTTATTTCAACATTTTTTTCCTTAGTTGAACTATGTAATGACTTCATTCAAAAGCAAGTTTTCTTCGTTTAACGTAATATAATTTTATTTTAAGATTTCCACGTTGACACTGAAGATATTTTCAAATCAAAAATATTTTTTTTTCTGTGTATCATCAAATTTTTATTTGCACTGTAAAGATGTAAGGGTCCTCTTCTAGAATCTCGATCCAAAATAGTCGATGTCTTTTTTTTTTAATTCTTTCAATGAAATCTCATTTCATTATCTTTATTTCTCGATATGAGATTTATGTACCTTAGCGTGAAAATTCCAAAGGAAATAATTAAATTGCAATGATCTACGTCAAACTTCAAATCGAACACCGTCATTTTCTTGCTATTCTAGGTATAGAGACACGCTTTGTGGGAATTTTAATGGGACTGATAGCGTCGTTCCTTCTTCCTACGTAAAACGCCGACTCGGAACTTCCATCATATGTAGGATGTTCTGGACGTCACAACATGGATTTCTTAGTTACGCACCTACGCGCTTCTCTCTCTCTTCGCGTCATCGGTTTCTCGCTCTTTCATCTTTCATTTTGCCAGACGCGCGTACGCTTACCTCTTCTCTTCCGCCGCCGAGTGTAGGAAGAGGTTGCGCATTCTGCGTCAAGCGTATATTTATAGCCTAGTCCCGAGGCCCGTGACTTTATCAATCGTCATAACGACATATCATCGGTACGTGATAGTAAAACTTCCCGAAATCACATTCTAAACGCAAAACCGATACGATTGTCAAATTCAAAATTACAATCTGTACGACGTCGCGGCATGTCTCTATATTTGATTTTTGGTACGGTAACCCGGGTTTAGTAAAAAAGCCCGGGCCGGCTAAAGTAAAATAAAGAAGTCACCCACACGCGAAAGTCGAATTCACTTCCGAACGATGAATCCGCTCGTCCAAATTTGGATCGTGTAAATAACTCTTGCTTTAAATTTTAAAAGAGTCTTGCAAGAGCTTTGAATCCAAAGCTTGCAATGATCTTTGTCAGAAACAGAGAAAGAGAGACGATGACGCGAATCACGCAGTTCGAATCTACATATTTATGCACTATTAATAGCATCAAATTGCATCTAGATAACAATCTATGTAAACGTCGATCTTATTTTTTCCTCTATTAACAGAAAAACTGCTCTCTCAACTGGGTTTTCACGCAACCCAAGCAATTTTTAGATATTTGTTATTTTTATCCGGGAGTTCTGAAGCTAACAGAACTTGCCTCTTTATCTTTTCCTGTCAGTTCAACGCAATGAAAGAAACGAAAAATTAATTCCAGACCGTCGAGTCTAAACAACGTTTATAATAATATCGCAATAATAACACTGGTCGACGTGTCAGCTGCAGATTGGATTTCTCGAGTCGTTTCCTGTAGATTTTTGGCCGCTGAATCCGAATCTGTCATTAAAACTTTTCTATCACTCTTAAATTTAAAAAACAAACTTGAATTGGATGAAAATTGTGAGTGTAGTGTACTTTGAATTCATGTCTGATTTCCCTCAGGCCCTCAGCCAACGGCTGGTGAGGCGTAAGCGCCCCATCACAAAAGAACGTTAATTGTAGCTCGCGATAGATGATTGCGGATTAATTATGGGTTTGCTTAGCTTAAAGTATATTGTCTAACCTAAATTTTAATTTTTTTTTTTAATTTTTTGACATATTGGATTCATCATCTATACTATGTCAAAAATGGCTAAAAACATCTTTTTTGCACATTTGACCTCAATTTTTTCAAAAACCAAATGTGACAGAAAAGTTTTACTGACAGATTCTGATTCAGCGGCCAAAAATCTATACGGGAAACGACTCAAGAAACCCAATCCGCGTCTCACACGTCGATCAGTGTAATGACTCTTTGAAGAATGAATCGGAACGTTAGATGTGTGAGTTGTTTTAACGTTTGCATCCCACCGACCGAAATAGAGACACGGTCTAAATTTTATGCTTTGCCGCAATCCTACCTTGCGAGGCCCACGCAGCCCAGCCTTCGTTTGCGCTCCGTTTGTTGCACCCCGCTGCGTCTTGTACATAAAAGCCTGCAGACCATGCGGAATAGACACACCCCGAGGAGGGAGAAGGCCTGATCGATCGAGTAGAATCTTCGAAGAAGCGCCAATAGGATTTCTCGCGATCGTTGAAATATTAATAAGTTCACTGGAGGCTTGAACCGGCAAATGACGTGGCGATGCGCCGGCCGATTACGTCGCTTTCAAGAAATTTTGTCGACGTGGTTTCCTAATAAGATAGACTGGGTATCTACTGGATAACTTGTAGTTTATTTCCTTCTTATCAAAAGCGGACTAAAAATAGAGCTCGCGCAAAGAACACTTTGTCTTCTTAGATAGAGTGAAACGGTTGCACATCTCGCTATGGAAGCGCATAAAAATTCCTAAAACTTTTTGGCTGCGTATTTACATTGTTCTTATAATCACGGTAATGGTGTAATCGTGTAATGCAATAACGTTGTTATAATGCTTGAGTGCTCGAGTTATCTAAAAAAATATGTGTACGTTGCGTCAGATGTTCGAATTGATAAGGCTAGATTTTTTTCGAGAGGAGGCCGGTATCGATTCAGCGAAGACCGAATAATTTTGCCGAATGTTAATGAGACGTTCCTTCGGGCGTACCTCGTTATTTTTCATTGAAAAAGCTTTTAATGAATGCGCCGACGCACGTGTATGACTCATGTAAGTCACACGTGACATTTTCTGTAAACATTGACGTATTTATATTTTGTATGCCATGAGAATCTACGTAATTATAGCGTAAGTAGATTAGTTTACGATTTACGGCGGGCATATCTTACGACATACGGCGAACTTATTTATGAGCGCTGCGCAATAGCAGTGGGAGATAAAATTAGTAAAGCTTCCCTAGGGAGATGACTTCGACTAAACTCCGATTGACCTAATCGGACCGATTGATTCAACCAACAGAATTGCTTACAGTGCATTTTCTAACTATACTTCGCTGTCCCTGATCTAATCTATTTCTCAGAGAAGAAGTTTTTAATCTATCTTTTGTGTCAAAAATTAACACAATTCTGTAATCAATAAATTACATGCTAACAAATTACCGCATTGCTCGGGAAGTAAATTGCGGCTTAAGTTAATTGGGGAATTTGTGATGTCACCGTAATAAGGGATGGGTCTTTCCGAGAACGGCGGGTTACGCGATTATTTAGCGAATCGACCAGATCGAACAAATATCTGTCCCCGGGGATCGATAACGCCCCCTCCGTGAAATACTTTTGGTATACATCACGTTCGAACGTACGTATGTACGAGCTTAGCCATCGGCACGTTCGTCGGAGTGCGTGCATCATGTTCTTTCCTCTCTCTCGCGCTCTCTTCTTCGATAAAGGCACCAGCGGATCGAGGTGTCCGGCCAGTCAGTTCTCGGACGTCGATCATTAAAGCTGCGTGCCGCGTGAATCTTGCCGATCGCCAGGCACGCTGTCGATCTCCGATCGTCGAAAGGATCTCCCACCGCTTAAAGTAAAAATTAAAAGTAATTTCGCGGAAGATGCTCACGAGTAACGCAAGGAAATCAGTTGGATAAGTGAACGATCTCGCGGAAGTTTCGATATAATATCAAGGCTTAATGTGGATAATCACGTTTCGACTGAGAAAAACGACGACTCGGTGAAGATCGGGCGATTGAGCACGTATGTGTATGTGTGTGCCTGTGCGTTCGTGGGTCCTTAATAATCAATCAACCGCTGTACACGGTGTTCGATAATTCACGAGAGAGAGAAAGAATCGATCTCGCACGCGTGGGTGCCGCGGCGACAACGAGGATCTACGAATTTCCGACAGTCTCGCGTAAGTTCGCCTTCTCGGTGCGCGCGCGGAGACGATCAATTTCGAAGGTCGGTCTTGGAATAGGAGAGGAAATAATATAGACTGAGTTAATGAGCGGAAATCACCGCAGGACTATACAATAAAGTTCGTTCTCGAATGACGAAGTATAGCGGGAGTTGCAGGTCAATGACCATTCGTCATCGGTTGCCTATCTTCTCCGATACGACACTCCTCCTAATTCTCGAAAGTGACGTCTCCGTCGCGCCAACGAGATTGCGTTTTAATTAAATTGCTTAATCCGGTTCGGACTCCGAAATAGCTGCGTATAGCTGTAAGACAGTGTAAGAGCTTTAAAAGTCTCGATATCTTAAGCCTCGCGCCGGGCGATGTTAAATTACCTCACGACGAAATCTAACCGACGTCCTAACCGTACGATAAAATCTTCATCTCCGTAGGTGTTTCGGATCGCAGGACCCGGCAGGAATTTCCGGATGACTTAATGCTCACACCGACATCGAGTGTGATTGATGGCACGTGCACTCGTGCGAAGAAATCGTTGAAAAAGGTCGGTGCGTCGTCGGTGAGAGTGCGAGATAACGAAATATATAATAGGTGATCGTTGGAGAATCAACCGATAACGCATCGCTAGTCTCGATTCCATAATTATTGAGAGCTTCGGATTTATCCGTCTGACTAACTAACTGAAGACTCAACTAAAGCCGGCAGATACAAGAAGGGAAGAGAGAGAAAGGGAGAGATAAAGAGAGAAAGGTGACTGAAATCTTCAATTAAAACCGGCATCGATCAAGCAAATAACGCCGGCATTGCACGGAAGACTTATCGGCGAGTGTAACCAGGGTGTGACAAGATAAATGTGCAAGATCTAATGTGATATCGAGCTGTGACGAAAGAGAAGCGAAAGCGCCTGTCTCGCCTAAATGTCGCCGATACAAGTGTCGCATGGCGTAATCGTAGCGCTGGTACATCCGGAGCAAGGCCGAATCATCATTTCCGTTCGCAAAATACGATAATTGAAAAATTCAAAGTTCGATTATGCTCAATGCGAAGTGCTTTGACGCGCATTAATTCAGAGATAGACGCAGTATAAATCTCGAGCTCGACGCTCAACATTGACTCGATAGACTTTGATAAGGTGCAAACTCATTCAGGATGCGACTCATTCACGTTTGCGTCTTTTTCGTGTCTTTATTGACGCCAATTGCATGCACGAGTGACGTGGTACCCACCATATATCCTATTCCATTGGTAAGTGCACCTTCGACATTTATGACATACCAAGTTTAGGTTTTATATTTATTTATCTGAGCTTCGCGTATTTCGCATCTCTCTTTCTCTCACTGAATTATATTTAGATCGAGTCACTATTGATACCAATTTCTTGATATTGTCCAGATAACTTCGGTTGTAAAAGCTTTACGCAGATATCTTTACGAGATTGCATAGGAAATCGAGAAGCTGAGAAAAACAAAGTGTAGTTTCTAAAAGAAGATATTCATTCGAAACGCGTCTCGATGCATATCGGCAACTCCTGTATGCAAATTAATATAAACAGTACAAATTCTTCGAAAAGCTGCGATCAGTTTATCAATTTACAGACTGCTATATTAGGTACTGTTGTTTACTCAACGATCTATGTTCATTTATACATATATATAGACTGTTTCATAGAAGTTCCGAAGTTGCGAATAAAAATTCAAATTTTTTTTGCCTTTTGACTTCAAATCTGCCCTTTGTCTTCAAATAATGTCAAGTCAATTTCCATAATGACAAGTTCATAAGGCCAACAACGCTAACGTTTTCTGTCATCATTTACGTCATCATCCTCTTATTTACGCTTGCGACGCGTCTCGAATGCTTGCATTTTCTCCGAATTTTGGAACGTCGAGACAACGACAGCGTCGTTGCAACAACATCGGCAATCGCAAAATACTTTCAATATGTTCCTAACTTGTCCACCTAACTTTCAGCAAAATGAGACCGTAGTGCCGGAGGAACACAAGAGTCTGCCATTGGCGGGGAAATGTTGCCCCATAGGCGAGGTCCTTGCAAAAGATAGGAACAAAAATACCGTTTGCGCCTCCTCGAACGACACGGTGTATTTTTCACCTTTCTTCAGCAACTTTAATCGCACCGGCGCGCTGGTGCCCGGCGACGAATATAAGACATTCGTCGCTATCGTGGGAAATCCCTGCAGTCTAAAGTACGTATAATGTGAAATACGAGGAGGATCTGTGAAGATTTGAATGATCGAATCTGTCGAGAGAGCCATGTTACAAACCATCTTACCGAAGGTCGTCCGTTACATAATATATAAAATGCGTAGACCTCGTACTGTCGATATCTTTATCAATAGATCGGAATGCCGTGATTGGTCACATTTTACGATAAGACTCCGTTTTCGCGTTGTGGCCCATCGACTTAAATACTAGTCGACTCAAATATCAATTTATCAATTGCAATCAATTGTATCGATTGTAAAATTTGGAAAATCCAATCAAGAACCAATCGCGCGAAATATAAACCTACTAAGGCCTTACGTAATCGCAAGTTAAGTATCTATATCTTAAAAATTGTAAGATGAACTTATTTATAACACTTTCTTTGAAAAAAGTATAATTGATATTATGAACTGATAACTGCACTCTCGATATTACATTTCTCGAGTACTTATGATATATCGAACAAGCAATTGTGTATCTATTGAAAGTATAATTTACAAGTTTGGATTCCACGCGCGCGCACTTATTGTCGCCTCCTTATATTGCCGGCAGATAACGTATCGTCAATAATTTTTTCCTTTTCCAATGAAAAAAAAATTATATCGTTTCGTGATAATCGGCGGAGATGAAATCATAAAGGGACGTTTAATCGCAGCGGATGTGTAAAACAGCGATAGATGACAGTGACATCGCCGCGTTATTGTTCATGAATTATTGATAAAGGGTACTCACACATAGATAGAGTACGAACGGATAAAACGTAACAGCGTGTGAATTATGCTTGCATAAACAATGAAGATACAACGCGAGAATCCAGACGGATTTATAAAAACGTCAGGTTGTTCGAATCTTGAGAGGCTTTATTCCTCGCCAGAAAATGTGTAAGAGATTTCACAAGAAATTGCAGAATAAAAGGTAGTACGTAGCTGAATAAAGAGATATCTATGTACATATAAAAAAATATTGCTTTTACTTTTCTTTAAAAATCGGCACAACTTTTCCGGACAACCAGGTATAATTTTTAATCAGGTTTCGTTGTAGATAACGTTATTTTTATATTGAATAATTGGCAAAATAAAATTTGTTATATTCTTGTAACGTGGTTCAATGGATCGATTCGAGTAATGATATTCAGGAGCGACATTCAATCGTGAATTGTGATAAATAACGCTTTATTCCGTTCTCTTCCTCCGTAAAAAATATTATCGCGATTTCCGTAGCAATTAGACAGAAATTATTTCCTCGTGCACAAGCAAAACTCGTTTCTCATGAGCGATTGATTACAGAAACGCGCGTTTCTCGGAAAGATCTCATGTCGCGGTGTGTGTATCCTGGTGCGGGTATTCAAAGTAAATTAAAACTTCATTTACTTCGAATACTCGACTCTCAAGCACCTTTCTCAAGCCCGATGATCCGATGTTTGCACATACAAGCGCGCACGTATTTGACGAAGCAGTTTTCAGGTACATGCTAGATCCGGATGAAAGCGAGGATGAGTATTACTTATTGATGAATGGTTCCATCTTCGCGCCGCGAATCGATCACGTACCGATTATGCTGATGCCCGGCAAAGATTACTGTATGGAGGTCGTGCCCGAGCTGGGACTTAGGGCATTCGTTTGTTTTCAAGGTTTGTACGGAAGGAACTAATTGTAAGATCAGAAAAACCTCCCGAACTTTTCCTAACTGTTTATCTGTATCTCTGTTTTTCCATATGAAGACATTCGATCTTCATTGATAATCCTCCTGAATCCTTCTGTGGAATTTCAACTTAAAAAAATAATAACAAATCATTTATGTAACAGATCCACATATCACCAAACAAAAATCGACAATTCCTTGATATTTAATTTTTTTTAAGTCTCCTTGTCCTTAAGTTTTTAATGGAACACAACGATTTTGCAGACATCGCCGTCCCTACCACGGATGCGCGAGTCATCATTTACGCCTGCGGGCTCCTAATCTCAGTTCCTTTTCTGATACTCACCATCGCGGCATACGCGATAACGCCGAGGTTGAGGGACGTCCATGGGAAAGCCCTTTGCCACTATTGCGGCTGCTTGGCACTGGCCTTCACCACTTTGGCCATTACGCAACTGACAAGCGAGCAATTAGCACCTCAAGCCTGCGTTAGCATAGGTAAGATAATTAATTATCAACAAGAAAAATATTGTAAGTGTGACACCGTTAAATAAAAGTACGTATATAATAGTATACATTTTTAGAAAATTATGATTTTTGATTAGTAGAAAAATCTCTTTTTTTTTAAATTACGCTGCTGCTTGAACGTTTAATCGAATTTAATATTTAAATCATTACAAGAAGATTGTTACAAAAATTTGAAGATAATAAAAAGTTGTAATTAATAATTTTTAAATGGTAGCCTATAATTTGAGTGTTGGACTTTGAACTGTCACTTAATTTTACCGAGCGGTATAATTTCGGCGGCGTCGTGTAGCGCGGCAGGTTCGCTTTAGGAAGTATGACGACACACGTGAATGACAGAGGCAGATTGATTGAGAGACTGCGGTCGGTGTCGTTTTCAGCATTCGTCATCCAATTCTCCTTCGTGGCCTGCTTCTTCTGGCTGAACGTGATATGCATCGAAACGTGGTCGTTGGTACGCCATCACGTGAAGCAGTGCGCGCAGAGGAGAATCCAGCCTAAAATGCTGTTTTTCTACTACTCGATATGGGCCTGGGGCTGCCCAGCGGTCCTCATTCTCGTCTCGATGGCAATGGATCTCAGTCCTACAATACCCATGACCTACGTCAAGCCCGCTTTCGGTAGCGAGAGCTGCTGGTTCAAGTGTGAGTCTCGATCCAATTACACACAGAACTCGTTCACTGTTAAATAAGGATGAAATTTAAATCAATACCTTGAGTTAAATAACATTTTGTTATTTTTAACCATCACGTGTGTCAAAATTTATTATTTCAACATAAAACAGTACTATTTTAACTCCATTGGTTTAGTTAAATTAAATTAAAGATATAATATTGAATGAAAAATTGTTATAATTCGAGCCTTCTGTCTTTCCGCTTTGCTGAACAATTTGCTTCGCCAATATCGGGTATTAATTATTATCGCTCTTTTTGCAGCCGACGCGGAAGCCATGCCGTACTTCTACGTGCCGGTCGGTCTCCTTTTGTTGACGAACACGGTTCTCTTCGTAATCACTGCCATCAGGATCAGCCGCTACCAGCAAGAGCTCGCACTGAGACGGCTGGCGAGGAATCAGCATATCGATCGGCACGATCAAAGGCTCTTCCGCAGACTCAAGCGAACCTTCATCGTTTGCCTTGTCCTCTTCTTTCTGATGGGTCTCAACTGGATGATGGAATTAATCTCCTGGTGGGTCGGCGGCGATCCCTTCGACTGGACGGCGTTCGATTTGGTAAACGCGCTTCAAGGTGTCCTCATCTTCGGTCTGTTCGTCCTGAGAAGGCCCATCAGGGACTTCGTTTGGCATCGAATACAGAAAATACGGGGGATAGACACCACGGAACTGGACGTCGGGAGCATGGACCTGGCGCTACTGCCTGTGATAAACGGCGATATTCCAGAGAGATCGTTTAATCATTCTTAGAAAAGTTCTCAGAAAGAAAGAGAGTGATCTCTTTCTGAACGTATAAGAGGACGATACATTTAATGCAGGCGGTTTGGCCGATAGTGATATCGGCTGTAAACCTGAAGCAATCGATAAACCGATAGATCGGTGGATGGAAGGAGCCGGGATCTCATGACGATGATAAAAGTTATTTTAACTTCGCTGTGTGCAACGGCGAAATAGAGCGGCCTTCTCGATGACGCTCGATGAAGAGACATGAAATATATATTCGTGCAATTTCGTTGCAAACCCACTCGAGTTAGCACGGAATTAGCCCGCGAGATCCGACGCGCGGAACTTTCGCCCGAAGGAGATTATTTATATTTAATTGAATCGCAATCGTGCGTTATAAGTAATAGTTCTAGTCTTTTTTTTTTGCAACATTATCTGTAATCATAAATATCAATCCGCGCGGCGCATGTTTTAATTTCGATTAAAATGCATTCACGTAGGGATACGTACAACGCGACGCCGCGCGCGTTGAATCGCAGTTCAATCGTGACGTTATGTGAAAATAAATTCTTTTCTGCAAGGTAACGTGTTACACAACGCATTATTCGTCCGCCTCCGCGAAAATATATAGCACATACTGTGTCGCATTGTGTTTCTGCGCTAATTATACAACCGTGGGGGAAACGAGTAACTGCTAGACCTCACTCAAGGATCTCAAGTGATAAGAACGCAATCGCGGCATAATTATAAATGTGAGAACCGGCCGTAATCGTAAATCGATGTTTATCAAGAATGCTACTTGTTAGTACTAATTATGCATCGTAAATCGAGATGTTGCGATATTCGTACTGCTTAAATTCACGCCCCAAATCGATGTTCGCGTCAATAATGTACCATTTATACCTTATTTGTATTTACGCGTCGTGCTTACTGTTGAACAACACAGCAACAATGTTGGTTAAAGCCTTTATTTCACTCAAGCATAACGCGTTATGTTAATACATTACACAGTTACGTCCAAACAAGCGCAGGATATTGAATAGGCTACGTCAAAACACGTTCATACACAACTGTAAGTTCGCCACAACACATCAACATCGCGTATTATACTGGATTTGATGAAAAACAGGTTTTACACATATTGTTGTTGCATCGTGTTGTTATGTTCTGTATGTAGCTAGCATATATTATTTATTGTCGTGGTAGGTATTAATTTATTGAATATATCATGCATAATATAGAACGACGAGGCAAATGAATCGAAACGAATAAAAAATATTAATATCCTTTATTCTTGCGTTCCCTTTAAAACCATAGTGTACATTTGTTCGTTTACTTTTTTTTCGACAGCGCGCTATATATATACATATAACAAACAATATAATCTTTATAGTACAAGCGTACTTTGCCAGAATCCAAATTAGCTGCGAAAAATTATACTACGAAAATAGTCATGATATATAACGTGAGCGCACTCGCATAATCCATTGACGCTCGAGAGGCAGGAAAAAATATTTATATACCTATCCTATTCTCTAATAACAGCGGGCGTCAATGAATCGAGGAAGATCTCGCGTGTAGAAAAACGTGCACTCACTGTAAGCTCTAAAGCGGACGTTAAATACACCGCTGTGCACTCTAAGCGGCAGCCTGAGAGTGCGAAAACCAGGTACCAAAAGTAACATTTAAATCCTACGTGCAAAGCATCGTTCATGTGATGCTTCTAATTTATAAACTTATCACACCATACCAAAAGCACCCTCCGATTAAAGGCCATATTTCTTGATTCATTTAACTTCCCAAGTCACAACTTACTTAGAGTAGTGAACCTATTTCACCCTTAAAATATTTAAGAATTCCCAGAAGATTGTGGTAATAAGACAACAAAAAATCAAGTAAAAAAAATATTTTCGTTCATCTAGAAAATTGACCGAAGTTTGATATTTAATCTCTCGGTAAAACGATTACCGATCACAAGCGCAAGCTATTTTGTAAGTGAATTGATTGTTCGCTATAAAATTTATGTAGCTAAAACACACTGTTCGATAGATCTGCGAGGGCCCGAAAATTCCGGACTCACACCCAAAATCTCCATAAGATCTCCTCGTTGAGCTACATACACCAAGCAATACATTTCCGACAGACGAAGCGCCGAGTCATTGTATGATATTCGTTCCGTGTTCGCGTGAGGTTCGTCAGAAATTGATGTTGGTTTACCTACATATTAAGTAATTATTAGGAGACACTTGAATAGGAACAATGACATCAAGTGACATCAGGAACGAATGTAATGGAACGAGAAACTTACCGCGGCTAACGTATTCGTAAATGATGTAATCATCTAAACTGGAAAATTCGTTAGGAAAGAGACCTATCCAGTCTCCGTTGCTTGGAATGAAATCTCTCTGCAGTTTGTAAGATATAAAATTTTCCTCCACGGTACAGTCTTGAAATTCCACAAAGTGGTTTTCTACATTAGGTCTGACCTAAAAAAAAGAAATTTGTCATTCACATGTAGCTCGATAAAAAGGGGTGATGTACTACAAGACTGTATTTTTACCACGATATTGAACTCTCCAGTTACAGGTTTGTGATCGGAAACACTATAATTGGGATGGCTCTTGTAAGTAAGCTGCTCAGTGTGAATTTCTATGTCGTCATATATATCTGCCGCATTTACTTTGTATAAAATCCTGTCGGTCCAAGACGGTCTACGCCTGCGTGGCAAATTAATTACATAACATATTAAAACGCTAGTTCCATTAAAAAGAATGTAAATATATATCACATACGTAAATGTATGTCTCAAATTTAATTACTATACTTTCAGATTTATATAAATTAAATATAAATTTACTTGAGATCAAATTCCTGGGACTCAAACTCGTATTTGTAAGTAGGCGGGAACGTGATGCTACTTTCATTAAGTTCGGCGAAGGCTTGTTGCTCCTTCATCACCATTCTCAACTGATCTCTTTCGAGAAGTTCCTTCAATTGCTTCTTCTTCACCAGTAAGTCTATATCGGCGGCGGTTAACTCCTCTCCATTAAGTCGAAAGTTCAAGTCGCCGATCCAAAATATATAGCTAATAAGAAGCGTATATTACATAACATTACTAACAACGTAGTTAATTCTATTTGAATGATGTAATGCCTATTTCAGCATAAAAATATCCATACTCGTGATATAATATTCTCGATGTAAACGGAGCAGTAAAAGTATGATCTGTCACGATGGTATTATAATCTGCTATTCTATCGGCTAGCAAATGGTCATGAGGAGTTAAATGCGTGTTCACCACGCAAATGCTGACTCCGTAGGCATTCATTCTTACGCTCACCGCACCCTTGTTTCCCTGAAAACAAGTAACGTTGTTAGTAGAACAGCAATTGCTGTTGTCACATTGCTTTCTTACCCACATGCCACCGAAACCCGTCTTGGTATACTGAGCTTCTATCAATCTTAAATGCGTCAAGTGCTTCCTCAGACAGAAAGCATTCAGAACAAGACCCTGCAACCGTTGCGAACGTATTTTCACGTAATCATACTTCTTCAGCACATCTCTGCAAACATGTCAGCATTTAATTTTCATCTCCTAAGTGAATATATATATTGAATTACACATGTATGATACAAGTTGTATCGTCCTAACAGATTTTACCTAAAGGCTTTAGTCCACGGATCCTCGAATAGTATATAGTCTAACACTATATTTTGCGGTTGGGATTTAACTTCCTGCAAACTAAAAGCACATACGCTTTATCATTAAATCTGATACACGCAGAACAACGTTTTATGGCCAGTCTACAATGAGTCGTTAATCGTTAGTCAGATGTCGGAAGAAATAGTTATAAGCGTATTGTAAGCAATCGAAGGCCTGTAATCGGTGATCATAAGAGATGGCATTTGGCCAATCGCTTATGATTGCCAATTACAGACTTCCGATCGCCTTATGACACGTTTATGACTTTTTTCGACTCTCTTCCGACATCTGACTAACAACTAACGACTCATTGTAGACTGGCCATTCAGACGTACCCGATGAAATATAAATCTGGCCACAGCTTTGACTCGTCGCAGGCTGCAATGCCCAGGAGCTGCTGAAGGTCCTGTCTGGGATCTGGGAACCTCGTAGCCACATTGTACGTGACGAAGTAAATTCTATGCGGCGTGAAAAGAAACGCGTTAAGAAACAGTACATTCTCTGCGAGATATAACCTATATAGATCCGGTTACTTCTTTTCGATTTACCTGAGCCGTTCCACCGGACACGCCATTTCAGGGGCGCTCGACGACACAAGGGAGGGGGACAAGGGGATCCTACGAGGAATTTACGTAAATCGCGTAGCTAAGGGAAACGGATTCACATCGCGATGACTCCGCACAACGCTGGACAGCTCGGCAGGTTAGGAACTCGCGCGCATCGCGCGCGTTCCCGTTCCTCTCCGGTTCCTCGTACTTTCACCCGCGGCTGTCGGCTGTCGGCCGCGATGGTACCGTCGCACCGCCAGCGAGACTCGTCGCGTTCGCTGCCGCGTGCAACATCTGGTCACGCGATTCCGTACGACGTACGCATCGTCTACGGAGCCATACTGTTGACAGTGTTGACAAGTGCGGAGGGAAGACAGTTCCCCTCCTCCTCACTGCTCTTCACTCCTCCTGCTACGTGACCATCCCCGCCATGATCGTCGTTCCACGTGACTGTGACATCTGTCATCTGTCATTACGCGTGTGCTTTTTTTTGAGATGATTATCCTGAAGGCAAGGAAAATAAAGGTGTCTTCTGCTTCTTCTTTAGGCAATACGACATTCTAGTTCTATAACTTTTTAACTCTTTTAACTCTTTCTTCTCTTTAAACTAATAAACTCTAATGTCTATTTCTACTATTTACTAACATAGATTCCCACACAGCACGACCACTTTATCTGAGCCGGTGCAATGTTTGATATTTCTTTGTGGAACCACTACTCTTCAGTGATAGTGGCTGTTGCTCGTACCAACAATGCAGTGGAAGGATGGCACCATGCACTAAATCGGAGAGCAAATGGTTCACATCTCGTACTGTGGAAAATGATTGAGTTGCTTCAAGCAGAGCAGGGTCTCGTCGAAGCTCACATTGCGCGCGCGAATGCTCACGCTTCTGCGAATAATAGAAACAAGCGCTACAAAGACAACGATGCGCGATTGAAGAGTCTCGTTGCAGCCTACAACCGACAGGATGTGTTACAATATTTTTGAGGAATGTCGCTGCCAATCTGTCGTTATAAAAATGTGTTAGGAATTATGTGTTATTTATCTTTGTTGTTAGTTACGCCAATTGTATTACATTAATTGCACTTTGTTGGATGCGTTGAAAATCCTGAGGAATGTTGCTGTCAATCTTTCGTTGTATTAAATTATCATGAGTTATGTATTTATTGTCTTTGTTTTTAGTCACGACGACTTTTTAAATTTATTTGCGCTTTGCTGGTTGCGTTAAACTTCTTGAGAAAAGTAGTCTTGCAAAGTATATGCGTGGGCTTTTCACACGTGGAAAGTTGTAAACCCATGTGGCACCTCGCCTCGCGCGAAAAGTGTATGCGTGGAGGTAGTAGGTTCCGCCCCCTGCGGGGGGCTCCACTATCATTTAACTATACACATATGTGCCTTGCAAAGTACGTGCGTGGGCTTTTCACACGTGGAAAGTTGTAAACCCATGTGGCACCTCAGTTTTTGCTGGGCACGGAAATTTTTTCCGGGGGAGATTTTTTGATGGGGAGATTTTTTCCGGGAACTGATTTCCGGGAGATTTTTTCTGGGGAACAAAACGTCGGTTACGTTAGGAAGCTAGATTTACGCGTACAATAGTTATAATGTTTTAATTTTTTATAAAAACAAATTAAAATTAGATTTTGTGTTATAATATTTTAATATTTTGTAAAATTAAAACATTATTTTTTTATTAGAAAAAAACTTAAACAGTTTAAATAGAATTATAGTATAAAAAAATATATTTAATAAACCTTTATATTTATAAATTATTATATTTTGTTCTTAATAATTTATTCCGAAAAGTAGATAAATTATTGACATAAGAATCCATTTCGTAATTTGAAAAATTTTGAAAAATTTAAGATTAATTCAAAATTCTATAATTATTGGGTTATAATATAAATATTAATAAGCAAATATGAAAAAGCAACATTACTATTCAATAGAAGGGAACACATAATAGGCTATAGATGCCTTAACAAAATGAATAGCATAATTAAAGCACAAAAGGACAAGAACTCACTAGCCACCAATATAGTAACGTTGTTTATAATATTGCATGTAATGATTGCGAGACCTCCTATGTAGGACAGACAAAGCGGCAATTAAAAACTAGAATAAACGAACATAAAAATAACATAAAAATGGACCCATCCAGACACTCGGTCATTTCCGAACATATTATAGAATTTAACCATTTCTTCGATTGGGATAACGTTAAAATAATGGATACGAAACCTAACTATTATAAAAGACAATCTCGGAAATGTTACATATTAAAGAACAAAAAAAAGGCATTAATTTAAACATGGACACAGAGTATCTGGATGAGTCATATTACAGTATTCTCAGCGAACTCACCGACATCTAACTATTTATTATTTCAAAGACTAACCTTCGTTGTTAACCTACGCAGCGTGCTTGCCATTAGTATTTGAGACAGAAAGGAGCAAACATCGACCGTGAGAGCGCGAAACATCGGGCCACGACCTAATTCTGTAATTTGTAAGTCCATATGGAGAATTTTTAAACCATGCACATAAGGTTTCTCCCATTATCGAGACATCAAATTTCAGAACGTAGTTTAAACTTGACCACACCGTTGTCGGACATAAGATTTAACGCCTTTTAACAACTGACTTGGTTCATTTTCGCCAATCAACGAAGAAAAATCATGGATTTACCTCTGACTACTGACTTGCGAATTTACGTATATACAATTTTACATTGCACAATTGACTCTACAGAAATCTATATACATATATACAATTTTATATTTTACCATTAGAATGCTCTCATGTAAGATGTGACTCCGGATGACTTTGTTATTTTCATCGAATTTGTTTCTTTTTACCGTTCACAGTTTTACTGATTATTGCGCGACTTTATGTAATTTTTTAATTTGTATCGGCTGAAGAAGACCCTGTGCGGTCGAAACGTCCCGTTCTACACATACTTATGTTTAATAAACGAACTTTAATTTGACATCCACGTCTATGCTCGATTGTTGGCCTTTATTCTTACAGTTTAAATATTAATAAGTATAAAGAGAAAAAGAATATCAAATCTAAAATGTGATAAAGAAATGTTGAATATCTTAGGTGAATCGATTTAAGGGGTAACGCCATTCTAGAGTCCCAAAAAAAGCCAATTTTTGATAATTTTTTTCAGAACTACAATAATCATAAATAAAAATCTGTTTAATTCTATTTATTATCTATATATTAAAGTATAAAAAAATTTTTTTTATTAATTATTTATTGCCAAAATGGCGGCGCCAGAGCCATTGCTCCAAAGTGCCTTTTTGCGGAAGGCGTCCAACGGGCGGAATCGAAACTCCTATAATTTTTGAGCTGGAACAAAAATTCAAAGATTTTTGAAAAGTATATAAGTTTTTCTATAGAGGTACATGTGGGAATTGCAAAATATCATTTTTTGTAAGAATGGTGCATGTTAAAAAAAAGTGTTTCATTTTTCGCTAAAAAATTTCGCACAAAATTGTTTATAAAAAAAGTTTTGTTCAACTTATCGCAAAATTCACATGTACTTCTAAAGATAATGTTATTGTAAAGTTTCACTCAAAATTTTAAGTCAATTGGATAAAAGGTGTTCGAGTTCTTATTCCCGATTTAAAAAAAGCGATTTCGAGAAAAACGCGTTTAAGGGGATGCTGGAGTCACGGGCAAACTCGATCAGCGTCGATAAAGAAGTGCTCACCGATTCTTACACATACAGAGCGCAGGCAAACTCGACCAGCGTCAATAAAGAAGTGCTCACCGATTCTTACACATACATACAGAGCGCCTGCTCTAGGGCTACCCGTTATACTGATCCGTATGTTTTTGGCTGAATTCGGGGAGACGCGTTACATGTGCATATGAAATTTTCTAACATACTTTTCTCTTATACTAAAGCTCGCAGCTCATTTCTGCAAGCACAGGATTCTTTTTTATTGTATTTCCGTAACGGCTGCAAGGTTTTTGTATACGTACACAGTCTAAAACTTTTATGTGCAGCAAATGTTGTCATGAGTCGACCGCAGAATCGAAAATAAAACTGTAATTTTCTAATTTTTTTTGTTTTTCATACGCAATTGGTGCCTGCCGTCTTCGTTATCGTTCAAACTTTAATTCTGGAAAAAAATTTTTAATTCGGTAAAATCAATCAAAAGATTTGTGTGTCTGAAAATATCGCGGTAAAACAGACCTGTCTCCAGCATCCCCTCGAAGCGCGCTCCGAACGCGCCGGCAGACGGATTACAAAAAAGGGATAATAGAGATTTTTCTGAGCTTTGAAACCAAGTGTACCTTTATTTCTAAGACCGAAAAAAATCGATTTTTTGAAAATTCTAGAGTGGCTTTACCCCTTAAGGTGATCTTAAAGCTGTCTGTAATACCTACACTCGTTTTTAACAATATTTGCTTCGTATAAAAATTCTACAATTTGATGTTACAAAATGAAGGTGCAGGTCTATTCAGTAGACATCAAGGAATATCATACCGTTTGTAGAATTAGACTGAGACTCGAAACAAAAAAGTTAAACGAAAAGTACGATCACCGCGCGCGTCATTTACCTTTTTCATTATATATCACAAAATAGTACATACAAAGCACGCGCTTAAACATGAAATAAATACAATACTACTACATTATAGCTTAAATATATACACGCGCGCTATTTATTCTTTAACTGTACATTTTTAATGATATACGCAATTATATATAATTATATATAATCTTTTTTTCCCGGATAGAGAAGGTAGAGTTAGAAAGTAAGTGGGGGAGAGACTAAGAGAGCATTGAGTATGCTGCACCGTGGAGCCCCCCCTTCCCCTTTAATCCCACGGAGCTAGTTAGAACTGGTTTTCTATTTCTACCTGCCTAAATTTCTTTCTGGAAGATCTTCTACGATCAGATAGCTGGTCAGGTTTTAAGCCCCTTGCACAATGCTAAGCAATAGGCAATAGGAACAGAGAATAGAAATCAGAAATCATGTATAAATGCAGAATAAACAGTGAAACAGGCAATAGACACAGAGTTTCCGTCACGTTGGAAATTCTGTGCCTATTGCCTGTTGCCAACCAATCATAGTATTCGAATTTTTTAGGTTGTAATTAACAATTTTTTGGTTATTTCTTGTTCCTATTGCCTGTTGCCTGGCATTGTGCAAGAGGCTTTAGACCTGTAAAAGATGGAGTTACAAACCTATATGAAAGAAAGAGAGAGAACATCGGGGAAAAACGGAAAAAAATCTTTTTCGAAGGACTTCTAAAATCAATAAGAAATCAATGCTCAGGAATTTTTGCCTA